CATTGCTTGTGTAAAGACCAGAAAATATTTCTATACATTTCTGCGCCTTTCCTAGATAAAGGAAGAGAAAATCTACAACAGGAACAGAATCTCTAAAACTGTCCCTCAGTGAGAAACATCTTTCTAACAGATTTTATGGTCGACAAACAGGAATAAGTCCTGCAACCTCTCCATACATATCATATGGAGGGAACTACATATAAGACAGACAACACTCCTACTCTGGCTGTGTGTGGTGTGTTTTGAGTTTTCTTTCACTCACCGTTAGTGTAAGAGGTGAAGGCTCAGCATCTTTACAGCACAGGATCAGCCACCAGCAGACCGTCACCGGATTCTTGTTTTCCGTCCCACTGCAGCAGATGTTTACAGCATCGGATGTCTAAAAAAGCTGGAAAACCTTGCAGAGCTCAGATCCTGCCGACTACGCCAAAAGAATCTGTTGACTTCTGCTGGCAAGTGTTGGTTTCTTGAAGAAACAGGAGTGGAGACTTTGTTGAGGAAAAGACGTTTAATTAACACGTGTCTTCCCAACCAAGCAAGTCTGCCTAGGCTTCCAAAAGCTTATGGACTTATAGTCAACCATGTAAACCATGCCCTCTAGTTGTTTCTTTGTCTCAATGGGTCAGACTTGCTACTGGATGGGCAACTGCCTCTACCTTTGTAATTAAAATAGAGGTGTTGAGGCCCACCCAGGAATTTACAGACTCCCCCATCTAGGAGCCAAGATGTCTCTGAGAAATCCTTTCAAGAAAAGGCATTGCTAGATGGGGGAGCTATAGATAACCAGATAACCATTACATGATAAAGGGACTGCTCTGCACAGCCCCCACACATCACCCAAGAGAGACATACAAAATGCAAACAAGATTAACACAAAAGGCAAGGGAAACAGAACAAAGTTAATAAAAGCACATAAAGTAAAATAAATTAAAATAATATTTAACAAAAGCGATAACATTCGACACCGCGACCCAGAAGGATAAGCGGTTTAGATGATCTGTGTGTGTGTGATAACATTCGAGCCCATTCACAGCCCTAATTGCGAGTCTGTTAGCTAGGAGCAGTGATGTTCAACTGGCAATTTATCATCCGTTATCCATTTTTGACCCCCTTCACAGCCCATCCTCCCCTACTCACCTAGGCTATCCTTCCTTTTCCTCCATATCCTATTCTTCATTTGATCACCATTTTTTCGCGATTATGATTTAAATATTTGGTAGGGAACAGAAGTGTTGTTCGTTACACATTTTAGCAAAGTTGAAGAAAGTGTGCTTATTTAAGTTATTTTGTCTAATTAAATGTCTCTTGGACAATGTGGAGTTTGCGGCTTTCAGTACAGCTGAGTGACAATGAAATAATGACAAGAACAGCAGCGCTACAAGCTTAAACAGCTCTGAGCTGCAGTGGACACAATGCTGTGACTATACAGACTCAGTGAAAAAGCCCAGTTGTTAAAATTGTTAAAAGCGTTAAAATCTGTGTCCATTAAATAAAACCAGATGATAAACCACCAGTTGAACATCACTGTTTGCTTGTGAAAGACTTGCATTAAATGTTTTACACGTTATTTTCTTGTTATAACTGAATATATTCCACTCTCACTAGCTATTACTGTTCACTAGCTAGCTAGCTAGCAGGCTAGGCAGGTACCAGAAAGCTAGCCAGCTGGCTAAGAGGTTAATGCTACATTAATAAAAGACAGACTTCAAGTTTAAGCCCTTAAAGAAAGCGTTAACTTTAAAAAATGGACATATATGAATGTTACTTACATATCTGTCAACGATGAGCTAAACAATGACATCTAAATTTAAACTAGAGCTGACATAAAAATTCCAAATAGTGCTAAACTCAGAAACCTAGCTAACCCACGATAGCAAGATTAACAGCTAGTATCAACTTACCTTGGAAAGGAACAGGCGGAGATTTTTTTGGAGAAAATTGTCCTAAAAAACAAAGCTAATGTTAGTCATACTGCCTTTTATAGAAACACGAAACATATAAACAATACAGCTTAATGAATTGCAAATATGAATTAACATAGCTACAGATTAAGATAACTCACCTCAAATGACTGGCTGTTGAAATCGTTAAACTGAAAAAAAATGTAAATGCACCTGAGAATGCCTCTCTTCGGACCAGCATTGGCAGTGAATCAATCTATACGTGACAAAGAACCGAGTCGTGAAACGAACCTGTTCCAAAGCCGGGCCAATTCTGCCAGAAGGACATGACTGTTATGCAGATCTTCCAGGCGAAAAGTGGATCTGGAGTTGCTTGCTATCTGGGTAGTAGTTTCTTAAGTATGGAAGCAGTTTTTAGTTGTTCTCTCCTGCAGCCTCTCCTCAAGTCGGAAGAGGTAAAAATCCTCAATTCCACATTTTGTTAAATTCAAGAGAGTTATTTAAGCTGTTTTTCACACCTCCCTCCAGCACGGCTGGAACTACGGCAACATACAGTAGCTGCCTCAAACTACAATTGCCAGAATGCCTTGTTGCTTTACATGACTCAGAACTCCAAACGATCATTGTATCAACACTCAGCTTTACCAGAATTCTGATTTCTCACACCTGTTTAGTAGCTTTCCAAAATGGACTCAATCCAGAAGTACTAACTGAGTTGTTTTGCTAAGATGACAATTTAGCTGTAATCAGTCATTCTTTACAGAACTAACACTCTGTGTGGTTATAATTAAAAAGACTCAGTCTTTTTAATTATAACCATTGCTTCACCTGTTTTTCCTTGTTTTTCTATTTTACAATTTTATACTAATACTGTTTGCTATCCAGTGTTGACCAGAGGAGGATGGGTTCCCCCTTTGAGGCTTGGTTCCTCCCTTTTGCTCTTAGGGAGTTTTTCCTTGCCACTGTCACAATTGCTGATGCTCATTTTGGCTTGGACCCAGATTTTTCTTTAAAGCTGCTTTATGACAACACTTATTGTAAAAAGCCCTATATATACACTTCGACTTGGACCAACTCATTTATTTATCTATTAGACTTGACCAACTCTTACAAAAATGTTGCACAAAGGTTCTCATATAAAATTAAGTTCCAGTTCCTGTTCCAGTTCCAGCTCCAGCTACCATTCTAGCTTTGGCTCCCATTCTGGATCCAGTTCCAGCTCAGCTCCTGAACCCATGCAATGTGATTCATCCAGGCTGTCCAGAGAGGAGAGGCTTTGCTGTCTTTGTGGAGGTCTGCACATGTATTGTGGTGCAGTTGGTCACATTGTACTTGGGCTGTTGGGCTCCTGAAGACATTGTGTCAGATAAAGGTCCACAATTCACTTCGATATATGGTCTGGTTTCTGTGAACACCTCGGTATCAACATTTCACCTCCAGTTATCATTCCCAGTCAAATGGACAATGCAATGTGTGATCAAGAGTTTGGACATTTTTTTTGAGAGCATTTTGTAGTAGTAACCCCAGTGGCTGGTCACAGTTTTTCACCTGAGCGGAGATTGTTCATAACTCTCTAGTTTGATCTGCTACTCACTCCTTTCAATGTGTACTAGGCTACCAACCTCCACTATCACAGTGGGAGCAAACCCACTGCAACATCTTGGTGGCTCTCAGGTGTCATGGGGAGAAACCTATCATGGGGAGAAACCCTCCCTTCAGCCAGGGGACTAGGTCTGGTTATCTACACAGGACTTCAGGTTTGTGGAGGGTAGCTGAAATTTACAACCCAAGTATATCCAGCACAATTCGGTATCTCACCCTCCTATCAGGTTTCGCTCTTTAAGCCTGAGGTCCCTGGGCCTTTGGACGAGGTTTCACCTGGTGCTGGACTCCCAGCAACATGGAGGGAATCTGCAATACTTCATCAACTGGGATGGATCAGAGGAGAGGAGCTGGGTACTGGCGAGACATCCTGAGAAGTCAGCTCCTCGTCCTAGAGGACCCCCAGGATGAACATCTCCAGTTCCTGTCCAGTTCGTTCCAGTAGTCCGGTTCCCATCCAGCACTGGGATAGCTCCAGGGTCACACCCTACGACACCTCCGGCTGGGTAGGTGTTGGCTATCCCAGACTCCTTGAGGGGGGTAATGTCACACCTCAAACTACAATTCCCAGAACACTTGGCTGCTTCACATGACTTAGGACTCCAATCGATCAACCTAGCAACGTTCATCTTCACCAGACTTCTGATTTCTCACACCTGTTTCCCCAAAGCAAAGACTCTTTATGAAGTATCATCTCTACTATGAGCATACCAAGCATTTCTCTGTTGTCTGTTTGCCCATTTCTGTGACCTATGAAAATAAAAGATTTTTTCATTAAGTTAAGTGGACAAAATGCAGTAGTTGAAAGCTACAGACGTGATCCACGCATCAAATCATTCAAAAGACCCAACCCAAACTCAACAGCATCAGTGAGTAATTTGGCTTGGAAAATCACCAAAATCCTTATATTATTGCTCTGCGTATAGCCTTCATATTTCATTAAAGGGTTAAAACAGCGACATGATTCATTCATAAAATCACTCAGCAGACTCTGCTTCATAAAATGATTAAAATTCTTTTAGCATTTACATGTCAAATAATAGCACATCTGTGTAGTCCAGTATCTCCTGAAAATAACATGTCATGTGTGACTGTCTCATGTAAATACTTTATAATTGCAAATATAATTGTAATTGACCCAAAAAGGTCCCAGAAAAATCATAGGGTTCTAAGGGTGGATAGCACAAGGATTTTTCGTGATGTGATGCAGTAATAGAGTTCAGTTGCTCTGAGGTGGTCATAGGAGTGTGCATATTGTGTATTTTACAACAGCTTTAAATGCGGCTCAGCCAGTCGGTTATTAGGATTGGAATTATCTGAACTAAAGCCACATCCACATGTCGTGCATATTGCCGAACCATTTAACTGTATGAAATTCAACAAAAAAAATATATTAAGAGGAAATCATTTTTGTAACGATTTTTTAATGAAAACATTACTTCCGCCCTTGAACTTGTTAACAGGACCCTGTTTCTGGTATCCTTTTTTTTTAATCAGGAGCTGGAGCACAAAGTCATCTCTGTGGTAAAGAATCAGCTGAAGAGGTTTGTGAAGCTTCTAAATCTGAATTACCCAGCATGCTCTGAGAGAGAGGTGGAGAATGAGGAGGATCAGATTGTCAGAGAGGGAGCATTAAAGATCACACTGCACACTCCTGAGGAACATGAACCAGACAGACCTTGCTAACACACTACAGACCAGTAAGAGATCATGTGATTATTCATTATGTACATAAATTTCAAGAGTCTAAATTATGATAATGATATAGTGTCAATGATAATCATTACCACTGAAGATACATTAAGTTTAATTTTTTAAACATCTTTTTGTCATGACTCCATAATATGTCATATTTTCTTTGGCATAATAATGATACAGACCATTAATTGTCAGTATTTAACCTATTGATTTTATTATTAATTATGCATTAGAACTGGCTCCTTCTCATCAAAAGCTCAAATCCACACTGAAGGAAAGGTTTCAGAAAATTAATGAAGGAATCACAAATTCTGGAACCTCAATACCTCTGAAGAAGATCTACACAGAGCTGTACATCACAGAGGGCGGGAGTGGAGAGGTCAATAATGAACATGAGGTCAGACAGATTGAAACAGCATCCTGGAGACCAGCAACACAGGAGACCCCAATCAAATGCAACGACATCTTTAAAGACAAACCCATCAGAACTGTGCTGACTAAAGGAGTCGCTGGAATTGGAAAAACAGTCTCTGTGCAGAAGTTCATTCTGGACTGGGCTGAAGGAAAAGCCAATCAGGATGTTCTCTTCATATTTCCACTTCCTTTTAGAGAGCTCAACTTGATGAAGAAGAAGAAGCTCAGTCTGGTGGATCTTCTTCATCAGTTTTTTACAGACATAAAAGAATTAAAACCAAGAGACTATGATGATTATAAAGTAATGTTTATCTTTGATGGTCTGGATGAATGTCGACTTCCTCTAGATTTCCAGAACAATGAGAGCTTATTTGATGTAACACAGTCAGCCTCAGTGGATGTGCTGCTGACAAACCTCATCAAGGGGAATCTGCTTCCCTCTGCTCTCCTATGGATAACTACTCGACCAGCAGCAGCCAATCAGATTCCTCCTGACTGTATTAACCAGGTAACAGAGGTACGAGGGTTCAGTGACCCTCAGAAAGAGGAATACTTCAGGAAAAGAATCAGTGATCAGAGCCTTGCTGAAAGAATCGTTACACACATGAAGTCCTCAAGAAGCCTCTACATCATGTGCCACATCCCAGTCTTCTGCTGGATTGCAGCCACTGTTCTAGAGAGGATGTTGGGTGAAGCAGAGAGTGGAGAGATCACCAAGACTCTGACTCAAATGTTCACACACTTCCTGATCTTTCAGATCAAACACAGCAGCCAAAAGTACCCAAAAAGTGACATTGATCATGAGCAGACTAGAAAGATCATTCTGGCGCTGGGAAAACTGGCTTTCCAACAGCTGGAAAAAAGAAACCTGATCTTCTATGAGGAAGACCTGAGAGAGTGTGGCATTGATGTCAGAGAAGTGTCAGTGTACTCCGGAGTGTGTACTCAGATCTTCAGAGAAGAGTTTGTGCTGAACCTGAGGAAGGTTTTCAGCTTTGTGCATCTGAGCGTTCAGGAGTTTCTGGCTGCTTTATATGCATTTCTTTCCTTCTCACACTATAAAAATGTACTACCTGGATTTCTCAATTTGTTCAAAAAGTCAACAGTGTCTGACTTCCTCAAGGCTGCAGTGGACAGGGCCTTGCAGAGTGACAAAGGACACCTGGACCTTTTCCTTCGCTTCCTTCTGGGTCTCTCACTGGAATCCAATCAGACTCTCTTACGAGGCCTACTGACACAGACTGGAAATAGCTCTTATAGCAAACAGGAAATAGTCCAGTACATCAAGGAGAAGATCAGGGAGAATCTCTCTCCAGAGAAAACAATCAGTCTGTTCCACTGTCTGAATGAACTGAATGATCATTCTCTAGTGCAGGAAGTTCAAGCATACCTGAACAGAGAAAGTTCCAGGGGCCTCCGTGGAGCTAATCTCTCTCCTACTCAGTGGTCAGCTGTGGCATTTGTGATGCTGAATTCAGAAGAGGAGCTGGATGAATTTGACCTGAGTAAATTTGACAGATCAGAGAAATGTCTTCTGAGACTGCTGCCAGTGGCAAAATTGTCCAGAAAAGTTGTGTGAGTACTTTTTCTTGTATTGTTTTATATGGATTTATTAATGTTTCCTTTTTCATTACATTATATTCAGTGCTATAAGTATGTACTGGTATAGGTTTATTTTTACTGAAAAGGTAAAATCCCAAGCTGTGCAATAAATCATACTTGTCTATTTTTTTAATGAAAAAGCATGAGACAGATGGACATATTCACTGTCTTTATTTGATCAAATCTAGTTAAATGTGTGAAAGAGAAACATATATAAAGAATGTTTATTGATAGTCTTGTATTTTTTATGTGAGAGATGATTTGTGTAGATTGTTCTGGATTAGGAAAAACTGTTCCTGTTATGATAGTGGCTTTCATTTGTAGGTTTTTCTTCTCTCTATAGGCTACATGACTGCAATATTACAGAGAAAGGCTGTGCTGCTCTGGTTTCAGCTCTGAAATCAAACCCCTTACACCTGAGAGAGCTGAATCTGAACAACAATAAGCCAGGAGAGTCAGGAGTAAAGCTGCTCTCTGATCTACTGAAGGATCCACAATGTAAACTGGAGACAGTACAGTGAGTTACTGACTTACTGTTGTTTTACACACTCAAATGTGAAGCAGTATCATTTGTACCAGGGGTAACATTTCCCACTTCAAGGCTCTATTTCTCACTGGCATGCATGATGCTCCACAGGGGAAAAACTGATGATCCTAAACCATTACCAGCCTGTAAAATTTTACAGTAAAAACATTATTCTGAGTTATTCAATTTTTGCTAGTTGATGGTGCTTGATGAATATTCAAGTGGCAATAATCCCAAATCTTCCATGTATATAAACAAAAAGCCACCTGTCCACTTTTTCTTGCTCTGTTTATTTCTTAATATCTCTCTTTCTGTTAGTTACCATAGTGGTGTCATCCTAGTTTAACCCCTGACTGCATCCAATGTCTAATTAACAACTTGTATGTAATCTCACTAATCGCTAGCAACCTTGATTCAGCTTTAGCCTATGCTCATTTGACTTAATTTAACTTCAGAATTTTTGAAAAATGTTGTGACTATCAATTACATTGATTTACTTTTATATGCCAGTGTTGAATGATCTTATATGTGATGTGGAAATCTGCATTTCTCTTTCATGATAAATGTGTGAGGGTGAGGTGGGTCTTTGGAGAATTCCTGTGACCCTGATTCTGATGTGTATTTTTTTTTCTATGAGTTTGTGTGTTGAAGGAAAAGATTGTTCTTTTTTACATACAGTACTAGTTGCTGAGTGAACCTTTATTCAGTGGTTTGCTAATTTTTCTTCCCTCTGCAGGCTGTCTCACTGCAGTATCATAGAAAAAGGCTGTGCTGCTCTGGTTTCAGCTCTGAAATCAAACCTCTCACATCTGAGAGAGCTGAATCTGAGCTGCAATAAACCAGGAGAGTCAGGAGTGAAGCTGCTCTCTGATCTACTGGAGGATCCACACTGTAAACTGGAGAATATACAGTAAGTGTGTGTGTTTTTGTGCTGAAGTGAGTTACACAAAGAAACATACATATATGCATGTTGTGTAAAGTTCTGCTTTGCAGTTGAATTTGTTTTACTTTTTGTCTTCCACATTGTTGTGTATTTGTGTATTTGTGTTTAGTTGTAAATATGAGGACTTTCTTCTTTCTACAGGCTGGAATTCTGCTCTATTACAGAAGAAGGCTGTGTTGCTCTGGCTTCAGCTCTGAAGTCAAATCCTTCACATGTGAGAGAGCTGAATCTGAACTACAGTAACCCAGGAGAGTCAGGAGTGAAGCTACTGTCTGATCTACTGGAAGATCCACACTGTAAACTGGAGAAACTACAGTGAGCAAATTACAGCTTTTTTTTTACACAAAAAGACACAAAAACACATCAAATTTAGAGCAGTGTCCTTTATCACACACTTTTTAAGTTGCTTATCCCTCTGGGTTGTGGGGGTGAGCTGAAGCCTATCCCAGCAGTCACAGGCAGGAAACAGGTCACCAGTCCATTGCAGGGCAAACAGACTGACATATACATGCACGCGCACACACACACACACACACACACACACACACACACACACACACACACACATATCTAGAGGCAAGTTAGCAGTGCTGGGAGGAAACCCATGCTGACATAGGGAGACCATGCAAACTCCACACAGAAAGGACCCTGGTCTACAGTCTGCACCAAGGTGCCAATGGTGAACAAACTATTTGATCTTAGGCATTTTTTTCCTGCCTTTCAAACTATTTAATCATAGATGTTGTATCCTGGGCTTCACAAACTGTTTAATCATAGACGTTTCCCCTGCCTCACAAACTATTTAATTATAGACATTGTTTGCCTTGCCTCACAGGACTCTGAGCTTGTCTCATATTCATACTATCATCATTTCCAGCTTCTAACAGAACTCATTGATCACATTTTCCTCTCATTTTCCTCACTCTTAATTGTAGTTGCTGGTTTTCACTGGTAACAGTGACCTGTTTTTCATTGATGTATTTCTCAGTGTTACTCTGATAGGCTTTTAACAGCCATCATTGGTTATCATTGCTCTACCTAAAGTCAAAATGTGTCTTTTTCTTTGTTAGTTCATTTCCTTTGTCACATTAATCTCACTCCATTGTCTCATATTATTCAAATGACAAATACTTGTTTCCCTGCAATCTGTGATTGAAGTGTAGTGGTTTTCCTGCCTCTAAACAGCCTCTCATGTTTGGTTGCATCACAGTGAGCCAACAACATATACCAACCGATAATACCTTACCATGTTTTCCCTCCCTCTCCAAAAACCCAACCAATCATCAGTGAGAACACCCATCTTCACCTCCGCTGCAGGCTGCATGTACATTTATGTCAGTAAACAAGTTTTTCTTCTTTTCTCTACAGTGTGTGTGACTGCAGTATTACAGAGGAAGGCTGTGCTGCTCTGGTTTCAGCTCTTAAATTAAACCCCTCACACCTGAGAGAGCTGAATCTGAACTGGAATAACCCAGGAGAGTCAGGAGTGAAACTGCTCTCTGATCTACTGGAGGATCCACACTGTAAACTGGAGAAACTACAGTGAGTTACTGAATTACTGTCTCTATATAAACACACAAACACACCAACAGAAGGTGATTAAGATTAAGTTACCCTTATTAGTCCCATAATAGGGAAATTATTACAGTGCATTACAGTGCTAAACAATATCAACAGCTCATAAGGCCAACCTAAGAGTATGTATTACAGAGAAGACTGACATAGAACCAATAAATAAGGGGGAGAGTTCAGCAAAAGATAAAAATATATAAACATAAGATGCATAAGAAATAGAGTGACAGGAGCAACAGAGAAGTACAGAGAAAAAGTGAAGGCAGGGAGGATCCATCAACAAGAGCCTGGGACAGTTTGTTTACCTGAGGAAGATTAGAACAAATCTCAGTTATTGCTTAAATCCTAACATGGTTATGAATAACATATAATATTAAAAGATTTAAAATAATATTATAATATTGTGTGAATTTATCAAGTATAGTTTGAAATGCAGTAAACACTGTGATTAAAAGATTTCCTACATTACACTGTCCCAAATGACTTGCCTTGCTGCCCAATGTATAAAAAAATGAAGAATGTGTACTTAATATTAGTTTATAAAAAAATCCTAAGAACATGCAATGTATATTGTGTTATGGTTACTGTGAGTAAACATTCAACACTATGAAATACTGTCAGTCTGACTTAAATTGTGAACCACCCATTTTCCACATCATTAACACAATGCATTTGTGTTTAAACATTGTCCTATCAGTGACTATACAGTAATTCTTTTAAAGCAATGCAAACAACATCATCTAAATTAGAAGCAATATTTTAGGATGTTGTAAATCTTTTTGCAAAGTAAAATTAATTGTTACTTATTAAGCCAAAAGTGAAATTGATGTAACCCAAGCGAGAATTAATTAGCGATTGGTGGCATTTTTTTCATGCACTTTTTTATTGGCCTTACTTTTTGTGCACCTTTTTGACCTCACTTCTTATGAGATTCTTCCAGATTACTAAATCCTTTGATAGTATTGTGCACAGTAAGCAGGGGAGTGAAATACCTAAAATTCTTACTGTCATTACTTGAGGAACAGGTAGGCTCTCTGATTTTTTTAATCAAAGTAGTGAGCCTCGACCCATCCTTACTCATAAAAGACTCAGCCTTTCCTGGAGGCTTGTGTTTTAGCCAAGCATAATTGCATCACCTGTTGAACATTTTTTTAAATATCTTCCTAGTCTTAAATTGCCCCTATCCAAACTTTTTGGAACATTTTGCAAGCTTAAACATCAGAATGATTGTATGGTTACAGAAAACAATGAAGTTGAAAAGATAAAATATCACACATCTTGTTTTTTACTACTTTCATCCAAATGCTGTGTTTGTGTGTGTGAGAGAGTATGTACATGTATGTGTGTGTCTGTGTAGATTTTAAAGTTTTTTTGTTTTTGTAGTGTGTTTGTGATTTTCTCTCTCTTCATTTTATCTGCTGAATTGATGTTCATGTTTGAGGTGTCAGTGTTTCTGATCATCATTTCTCTCTCAGGCTGAGTTGGTGTGATCTCACAGAGAAAAGCTGTGCAGTTCTGTCCTCAGCTCTCAACTCAAACTCCTCAAGTCTGAGAGAACTGAACTTGGGTTTCAATGAACTTCAGGATTCAGGAGTGAAGCTGCTCTCTGCCAGACTGAAGAATCCACACTGTAAACTGGAGACACTGAGGTGAGATCATCACAAACAGCGGAACAACAGACTGTCTCACACACACACACACACACACACACACACACATTGTTTTTCATCCAGTTAGTTTCTGCTTAGACTGTTGTGTGTGTGTGTGTGTGTGTGTGTGACAGTCTGTTGTTCCGCTGTTTGTGTGCGAGATAATGTTTATGAATATTAATAAAGATATATGTTTTTCTTCTCTCTACAGTCTGTCTGGCTGCAGTATTACAGAGGAAGGATGTGCTTCACTGGCTTCAGCTCTGAAATCAAACCCCTCATACCTGAGACAGCTGGATCTGAGCTGGAATAAACTAGGAGAGTCAGGAGTGAAGCTGCTCTCTGATCTACTGAAGGATCCACACTGTAAACTGGAGAAACTACAGTGAGTTACTGAATTACAATCTCTGTACACATATTCACTCAGTGGATGATCTACAACATTTTAGAGCTCAACCTCCTCCATAAACACACACAGACACACAGATTGTTGTGTGTGACAGATCATGAGATCTGTAGGAGAAAAGAAACTGGAGCGAGTTTATCACTTTCTCTCTTTGTAACATTTATGTTTATATACCATATGTTAAGTAAATAATACATTTATTATATATATCATTATATAAAAATTATTTTGTTTGAGTTTTTTTTGCAGTGTGTGATAGAGTATACATTAGTGTGTGTGTGTGTGAGAGAGAGTATGTGTATTAGTGTTTAAGAGAGAGAGAGTGTGATAGAGTATACATTAGTGTGTATGTTTGTAAACTATAATTGTCATGTTTTCATAGTTTGTTTCTCTTTTCTCTTCATTTTATCTGCTGAATTGAAGTTTTTTTGAGGTGTCAGTTTTTCTGATAGATCATTATTTCTCTCTCAGACTGCGTGGTTGTGATCTCACAGAGAAAAGCTGCACAGTTCTGTCCTCAGCTCTCAGCTCAAATTCCTCAAGTCTAAGAGAACTGAACCTGAGTGGGAATAATCTGCAGGATTCAGGAGTGAAGCTGCTCTCTGCCAAACTGAAAAATCCACACTGTAAACTGGAGACACTGGGGTGAGATCATCACTTTTACTCTATCACACACACACACACACACACACACAATTTTTCATCATCTGTTTCTCTCTCAGGCTGCGTGATTGTGATCTCACAGAGAAAAGCTGCACAGTTCTGTCCTCAGCACTCAGCTCAAATTCCTCAAGTCTAAGAGAGCTTAACCTGAGTGGGAATAATCTGCAGGATTCAGGAGTGAAGCTGCTCTCTGCTGGACTGCAAAATACACACTGTAAACTGGAGACACTGGGGTGAGATCACTTTTACTCACACACACACACAATTTTTCATCATTTGTTAGTTTGTAATAAAACTGTGTTGTGTGTTTCTCTGATATTCTGTTGTTCTGTGTTTGTGTTTGAGATGACATTTACGAAAGTTAATAAAGATTTTTTGGTTTTTCTTTTTCTGTCTACAGGCTGTCTGACTGCAGTATAACCAAGGAAGGCTGTGCTGCTCTGGTTTCAGCTCTGAAATCAAACCCCTCACACCTGAGAGAGCTGAATCTGCTCTCCAATAAACCAGGAGATTCAGGAGTGAAGCTGCTCTCTGATCTACTGGAGGATCCACACTGTAAACTGGAGACACTACAGTGAGTTGCTGAATTACTGTCTCTGTACACATATTCACTCAGTGGATGATCTACAACATTTTAGAGCTCAACCTCCTCCATAAACACACACAGACACTGGTGTTTTGTGTCTTAGAGAATTGAGATTGTGTGCTAAACTGGAAATACTGTAGGTTAAAAATTTCAAAATATTTGGACCACACCAGCATAATCTGTTAAATGTTTTTTTAATCTCGTCACAACAGCACAGAGGCGCTTTGACACACTGCCTTTCTTCAGTGTGTCAGTGTGTTACTGTTGTGGTGGTTAAATGCTTCCTAGTTTAATCCACTTTGTTGACTGAAAATGTTTGCCTTTGACTCCCACAAAATAAAAAACAGTAAAAAGAGTAAAGTTTAGATAAAGCTGCTTAAAGAATGTATTAAAAATATTTAAAAAATATTAAAAAAACAAAAGTCTTTTTTAGTTTTTAGAATTTTTTAGTTTCTGAATTTGTTAGTTTCTGAATCACATTGCCTGGGTGCTAGCAAGTGTGTGTGTGTGTGTGTGTGTTTGTGTGTGTGTGTGTGTGTGTGTGTGTGTGTGTGTGTGTGGTCAAATGACTGTGTTACCATTTCAGCCACGACCCACAGTCAGGCTCCCTCTTATTAAAATCAGCTTGACCTGTAGGGGGCGACTCACACAGAGAGAAATTAATACACACAACACTAAATCAACATTCTAGCTGAGGCTCCTACAGCTGTCTTCATGAGTGAGTCTATGAGAGAATCAGAGCTGTTTATTGGTTTATTAGTGTTGATGAGGCTGTACTGTTTATCTAGTGATGGTGTTTATCCTGATTGTGTCTGTGTGTGGAGTCTGAGTGCTGACTGTGATCAGTGTGTGTTCATGTCTGATCATTCTGTCCTGTTTCCTGTTTTACAGCATCGACACAACAAACATCTGACCTGGTCTGAGTCTCACACACACTGGGGGTTATGAGGAGAGTCTTACAGAACACACATACTGGTTTCCATGTTGGATGGGGACCAAGTTTCTGATCATCATTTGCAGGGACCACCCTTTCTAAAGGTCCTAGACATATGAAAAAAATCAGGAACACCAACCGCGCCTTTCTAAGCCTATACACGACTTGAAACATCAGATTTGATGAAGTAATGTTTTCACCATGCTATATGGGGACTTATGAGAAAACTAGTGAGTATGGCTGATGGGGACCCCATTTACATATTATTTGCATAATTCACACAAATTCTCATTTGATTTGTGGGGACCTTGAAAAAACCATAAATGTATTACTAATGACAAATTACATGCATTTAGATCAAAAAAAAGGTTTAATCTACAGCTAAGAATTAAAAGACAGTAGTAGTAGTACACCAATAACAGTTCAAATTTTAAAATTTAGCTTAGCTTAGTTGTTCATAGATAATATAGATATGTAGCTTGAGGCCTGCAAATGGTGCTATTGATGCAAAGCATTACACATGCCTAGAACACACTTTGAATGACTGACATTCCTAGTTTTGATAGGAATATCAGTGAGATTAAAGTGAAAGGCTATTTCTATTCACATACAAAGGACTGAAAGTGCAGTGAATTAATTATTTTTCAATCTATATCATACAACAACTCAAACCTTCAAAGACTTCTGCTTTTCACTGTTAAAGATACTCTCTTTAATTCTCACACAGTCATAACTAATTTTTTAAATGTATCTTCAATCACTCAACCACCCAGCATCAGCTAACTACTACTCGCTTACCTCACATTTCTTAACACCAAAGGGAACCGTCATGACCCTCTATACCCTCAGAGAGGGCCTAAGATATTCTAAAAAAATAATACTTTCAAAATGAGCAGTTCTAATTTTATCTGATCATCTTTTGGCAACCATTATCTAAACAAATACAAATCTGAGCAAAAAAAATTCAACAAGCCTATTCAGTTTGTATTGGAACGTGAAGCGTCAAATTAAAGAAGCCCCTTTGTGTCCCTGCTCGGTTGTGTGCATACTGTCGTGAGGTGAATGCTTGTATGAAATGTTGGTTTTGTGTGGTATGAGGGCATGACTTATGCGTTTTGAACTCCAGCCCATCATCTCCATTTTCCTCTAAAGTGCACACAGAGCTTGTATGATGATGCAATTATTTGTAAGGAGCATTTGCATATTGCTTAAGAAATTAACCGTTTTGTTGAGGTGATGACCCTGTCTGTGCTGTTTGCTCGTTGCATGTCTAAAGCTGAACTATCATTTAAATTTTTGTTTCTTAACTTTTGCAGTACTTTTGGAGAGGTTAAACTTTGGAGAGTTAAAAGTGTTTAGACAAGAAACAGACTTTGATTTAAGTACACCATGAATTATGTTTGTTTTTTTTTTTCATTCCATGTGCCTCCATAATAATATGCACATTCAATGAAAACACACTATAATGACAACAAATCATTGTCAACATCCATTAGTTAGCTAAATAACTAACCAAAGAGTGCCGAAACTCTTATGTATTGGGATTTCAACAAAAGCAAGATATGAAGTTTATTAGGATATAGGCCATCAACAGTAGATGAACAGTTTTCCTCCTGTACACTCCTGTCTTCCTCATCACTGTCCAGATTTATTTCTGTGAGAAATATATAAGTACAGCTTAACAATGTGATTCAACAAAAAGGAATAGAGAATAAACAAATGAAAAAGTCAAATAACTCACCGTCTGGATCTATCCCAATTTCATCCAAGTTCTTGCCATGAAACTCAGCTAATCTTCCTTGCTCCAGTGCCATTAGAACTTTGCTGATCTTGGCGAGCTGCAGAGTCTTCTCAGGGAGTCGACAGAACTCACGATGGATTCTTATGTCATGTCCAAGAAAACTGGCCAGCTGATCCATCTCTGTGTCTGTCATGTTCAGCACTGTTGAAAGGGTTGCGGCATGCTTTCGCAGTATGGTAGATGTTAGCAACTGGGGGCACTTTGCACCACACGCCTTTGCAAAGTCAAGAATGCAGTCTGAACCTCGGAAATGTGTCATAGCTTCTGGTCTTGCAAACATATAACCATTGTCCTTTAGAACCCCACAAGCCTCTCTCTGCCTAACAAGGAGTTCTAACGCACCCAGCATTTTTGGAGTCAGAAGAATTGGAACTGGGCGACCACGTTTTCCTCTAATAACAATCCTTGAGAAGTGTCTCTTGATGAAAGTGCAGATAAGGGCATGCTTGCCACCTCTCCTTCCCTGCTATAGCGTATGATCTGGGCCAGATACACCTTTGCCAGCTCCATCCAGGCCTTTGTAGAGGGACTTTCAGAGAGTGAATTGTACCACTCATCTTGCAATTGAGTGAGATATGCATGCGCTTTTTGGACATCTTCGGTGAAGGGCATGAGAGTAGGCACATTCCACTTTGCTTCCCTGATGTTCCTCAATGCTGTAGCCGAGATCAGCTCATTCCACTTTTCCTGATGGACATCTTGAAACTCACTGGCATTCTTCACAAGTTCGGCATTGTTCGAGATTAAACCCTGAGCTTTTAAGAGTTTGCTTACTTTAACCAAGGTATTCCCAAGTTTGTTTGCTAGTGATGGAATTGAGAACTTATTTATTTCACAGTCATACCCACATGTCCACTTGACAGCTTTGAAAGTCTCCCTGTACTTCTTTGGATTTATGAGGTCTTCCATTTTTTTTAAGGTGGTGACTTTCCTAGCATTGCGAATCAGCCTTCCCATTTCTCGCGTCTTCTCTCGCACACACTGTTGATTTTTGCCTGTTGTCCCACCTTTGTTTAACAAGTGCTGCCCAACATCAATAATGACTTGGTCATTTTTTACTATATCTGTGATTGGGTCAGGATTCATGGCACTGATTACTCCCCACAGTTGTTTACTGATAGTTGAAGGCACAGGCCCTGTGTACATACGCATGGACTGAACACGGTTCTTTCCTGGTTTGGAGGCGACTGATCCAGGACTAAGTATACAACTACGCATATGTCGCCACAGGACCTTTCTTGTAAAAAGTCCTTGACAGTATGCACAGTGCATGAAGCCATTTCCTTGCGCTTCTTTAGGTGGACATTTAAATGGCACTAGTTTTCCCTTTCCTGGCTCCATGACAGCAGCATTGTGAGTATAGTTTCCTCGGTTGTGAATGTAATCTAGCTGGGTTTTTCTCTCCTTGGAACCCTTTGGAAAGCTTAAAGCTTTAGCCACATCAGATTTATCTGTGTGTGCATGTTCAAGATGCCTTGCCATCTTAGCATAAGGGATACAGCAATACAAGCAATAATGTCTCTTGTTGTACACTCTCTTCCCAACTCTTTTTGTGCATGCACTAACAACTATGCTGTCATTTACATTCTGACTTGAACATAGTTCTTTGTCTGATCTAGTCGCTTCAGATGTAAGGTTACGCCTATCAGAGGTCATTTTGTCTGAAGTTGTGGAGTCACAGACAGGGGAACTCACTGAGCCAGAGACATCCAGTAAATCATCGTGAGACTTATATTTTGGTTTAAGGCTACCATCACTGTCACTTTCAGAAGTGGTATCTGGAATGTAATCATCTGAACTGTCTAGTGTAGAATCATCTTCACCCTCTGATGTAAAATCAAACAGTTCACCAGAATTTTCAAGATCTGTGTCTTTTATCTAAAAAAAAATAAAATAAAATCATTAGAAATATTTATCGGTAACAATTAGTTAAACAGTTTGTCAGTAAATTGACATAAATAAATCAGCAACTATTCTGATGAGCAATAAATTGTCTCTTTTTACATTTAGCAAGTTTTGTAAGGTGATTATTATAATGTGAAAAGCGAAAACAAAGTGTTTCTGCTCATACACTGATGAAAGGTGTGTTGTGGGGACATCGTGAGTGTCCAGAATAGAGACATAATTAACAAAGATAAAAATCCCTGTGAAAGTTAAAGTCTGGTTGAAATGTCCCACTACCACTAACCTACTGGATGCATAACATTAAACTGTGTTCGGGTGTACTGACTCACACTAGATCACAGTCACAATAAAC